GTGTAGGGAGCTTGGGTGTAGAGGATGGTGATGAGGATTGGCAAGGTGGGCGGGCAATAAGGGATGATGCCCGTGTGGTGAAGCTGCGAAAGGCGAGGAAGGGTGAGCCGCGAAGGGGGAGGTCTGTAGAGTTTGGCCGTTGAGCGAGGGCGGGTGGGGGGCTGTCCCGGCAGCGGGGGCGGCGGGCATAGGCATTACTGTACTTACGTCCGAGTGGGCGGGCACCGCGTAATTACCCTGGATGGTGAAGGTTTGACCACCAGCCAGGATCAGTGGCCCACCAACTTGGGGTTTGGGGCGATAAGGGATCGTGGCACCTTTGGGAGGGGACTGAAACAGAAAACAAAAAAAACGACGATGCGCCCGATCAAAGACGAGCGTAACACATGCATGATAATGGATAATACACGATCGACATCCATTTGGCAATTGTAACTAGACAGTATGCATCCAAATGGAGGACAATGAGCTACAATGAACTGTCAGTACACACTGGATGGTTTACTTATAAATTATACCAAAAGCTCTCTTATTGTGCGTAAGCACATTTATGCATGTAAGAAAAAAAATTATTTTATCTATAATAATTATTATTTTGAATGATATTAGTATTTTCTAGCACCTACCAAAAAGTACACTCTATAATACATTGTATTATACAATTGTATACATTGTAACCCATTCTCCTTGTGTATATTTAAAAACTTAAAGTATTTTTCCATTTAAAATATAATAAGTTATTTTCAATATTTAAAAAAAAACACGATTTTCACATTTGACATAATCTGTGACCTTAAAGTACAATTTTTACTGATTTGCTTTAGAAATACTTTTTTTCCTGATGTTTTATGTGTCAAAACTACACAATACAATTTTATATTGAAGTAATTTAAATGTTTTGAAAATCATGTTTAACTTCATGCATACAAAATTCATGAATATTAAATGATGTGAACGTTTTCGGACATTTGAAAATTTTAATTAATTTAATTGTTCTAGAATTCTCAAGATTTTCTGTACTAATACCGATATCCTAATTCGGAAAAAGATAATCAAATTACACGCTCAGTTACAATATAAGATAGGTGGATAGGCAAGTCTCATCAAAGTAACTATTCAATGTACCTCTAGCATGACGCAGCATATGTGATATATGCACTGAGTGATTGCCTCGCTGGTACCAGATATGGTGACTGCACGTTCAGTCGAATTGGGTAGCATCTCCGATGCTACTTGAATGGAGGCGCCCGTAACCTCCCTGATCTCCTTGATCTTAGAGCCACCCTTTCCAATAAGAGAGCCGCATTGGGAAGCAGGTACAATGAGGCGCAGAGTGATCGGAGGCCTAGGTATACCACCGCCGCCTCCAGCGCCACCACCACCCTGGCTGTCGTGGAACTGCGAACACCATTCTTCAAACTTCTTGCATATTAAGGTGAATGCCTTAAAAATGGAGTTCGTCGGACCGGTAACCGTCACTATTCGCTCGGGGCATGAGCCGTCTGAGATGTTGATCTTAGCGCCTGACTGTAAAATAAAAATTTTCTATTAGGTATTTCTTAGATAACATGATGAATTATCGGCGATTCATGCTACATATATATTTATCATATTACAGTTTTTACTATTAAAGAGATGCAGATTGTTAAAAGTGCCATTTTGGATATCGTTTAAAGAATTCGCATACAAATGTTGACATAAAAATATTTAAATTATTAGTAAATTTGCATAGAATTAGTACAGTACAATTAGTGAAATGCTGACTTTAATACAAAAGTCACAATTCCTTTCATATATGTATCATCGTATAAGGAACCTTAATCTGTTTTTAAAGTACTCAACAATTGATATAAAATAAGTAAATAAATCGTAATGAAGTAAAAACAACAATTAATAAAAATTATTTAAAAAGATATGTTACTTTCCTATTGTAAAATTCAGCAAAAGAATGAAAATTTTTAATTCAAACCAGATAATAGGAAATTAAGATATTATGATAGAAAAACTTGTGTTATAAAATTTTATTAAAATTGCGATTTTCACTACTTTTTCAGTCTAACAAAATTAAAATTAAAAAATGTAATTGACCATACAAAACGAATCTTCTACATGAATTCATGAAATATTAAAATTTTAGAAATAAAAAGTTAAAGAAATATATGAAAAATTCAAATAAATGTAATTTATTTTCTTTAAACTTGTACTTGTTCTCAAAACGTTATGACTGTAATAGATGAAATGTCAAGTTTATCAAGTCACGTGACCAACTAACATGACTTCACTACTATCATATGCTCACACGACTTAAAGTAAAGTCTAATTTCGTGCAAATACTCCGAAACATTGTAGTCGTTTACAAACAGATATTTCTTTAAATTTTATTTAAATATTATTTTAATAATTCAAGTATTATAGAATTATTTTTAAATAATACAAATTATTAGAATTTAAAACTAATATAAAATTTGAATTAAAGTATATTTGAAGAATTAAACAAATAGCAAAATACAAATATACATATATTTCCCAGAAAAATAATACAGCTTTATGTGAAAGAATTCAACAATTACTTTAATTGAATATAATAACTTATTTACAAAATAGAAATGAAAAATTAAATAATTCATTTAGCAACATAAATAACTATAATAATGTGCTGATATTAATAATAATGCGATAATAAAGATAATAGATGAAATTCTTCTATTATAACTTTTATCAGTATAAAATGATACTGTATGATAATATCTGATGATATTTGTATTTAGAAACGTAAAGTTTCATAGCATTAAATATACAAATGAGGTTAATAAATATAACAGGTAAGGAGCGTCAATGCGTGAAATAGTTTCGCAACTCGAAAGATTAATGATATTAACAATTATCGTTATGGTTTCATATTAAATAGTATCAATTACATGATTATTTCAGTATTGTTAGAGTTAAATAAACTCGAATAGATAGATTTCGTATAGTCCAATTTATTAAAATTAACTGAATAAAAAGGTATTAAAAAATTTATATAATATTTTATAGTATTCATATATCAAAATTATTTTATTTCACAGTTTATTTGCACTCTTATATTACCTAAATATTCGTTTTCATTTTTAAATCAATAAATATTTATTAGCATATGTACATCTTAAAATGTTTAAAACTGCATCTAAATCACAGAACGCTTGTAAGGCGTTTTATTCAATTTAAAGCACTAAATTAGTATCATTATACAAAAAATAATATAAAATCGATTAATAATAATCAATTTCTTTAATGATCCTTAAAATACAAAATACAGTATTTTATCAATAGAATTTGATTACACAATAAATAAAATAAAGTCTACAAATTTAATAATATCTGAGAATAGTAAAATGTGAAAAAATTGAAAGTAGCTGCTTAATAACTATAAAATTAGATTTAGTCGAATTTTTAAGCTATTACAATTTAATAAAATATATTATTTTTCAATAAATTAATGTATAAATAACGTCGAAGTGAAATTACGTTTATGTTAAAAAAAAAAATTAAAACTTAACTTTACAAAGTAAATGCAAATAAAAATTTAATACATTTTCATTTCTACTTTTTCAATAATGTAGATTCAATGTAATGTAGGTTCAAAAATATAGATGTAATTTTGTATGTATTAATAAAATGAATTCATATTAAAATATTTTTATTAAAAATTCACTGGATTAGATATATGATCATAAACAGTTACTTAGGTTATCGAAAGATAGACAATATATATTAATTAAAATAATATTTGTAGTTTTTCGAAGATTGTACGTATGATAAGTGATTCATACAATAAAATAACTTGATTTATTAAAACATTAGGATAATAAAAAAGGTCTATTTCATTCAAATTATTCATTTATATAACACACATAGTAACGAATTATTTTTTTCAATAATTTGATTACTTGATAATATTATATCAATGTATGTTATTATTTAATAATATTTATGATGCAATATAAAGAAGAATAAGAATGAAAAATACTAATATAAAAATTATTTAATACTAGATAGCACCCCAAAATTAACTTTTTTTTCAACACGGAACATATAACATTAAATCTTAATTTTACTTTAATTTTTAATTATCACATTGATTTTTAATACTTAATATTTTTAATACTTATCACTTGTAATTTAATCTGCATTTATTTATGAACAGATGTGAAGAAATCTAATACTGTACATTGCTATTCAGCACCGGAAAATTTACTTTTAGGTATTCCATTGGTATTAAAAGGTCAAAAATTTAATAAATGAAGATCTTCGAAATACAAGTTTACTAAAAAAACAAGACAATTAAAAGTGGCTAACTTTCAATATAAAGTTCTTCAACTGGATGATACTTTCAATAAAATGTATTTCTATTAAAGCAGTTAAGGACTTTACTCAATTTTTCAGACGAATTCATTATGTAAGAATGTATAATAGTATATTACAGAAGTGCAGACGAATAAAATAAAAATTTTTTAACATTTAAGCAATGATTGTTACCTCCTCACGGAACCTCTTCACAATTTCTCCCTTCTTGCCAATAATGCTACCGACCTCCTGAAAGCAAAAAAGAAAACACATTATTTTATAATTAGTTGCTTATTTTTATATATTAGTGCTAAAGATATTCCAAATATATGTATATAAACAAATTTGAAACTTTAAAAAAAATAATGTTCAAGCTTTTACTTTTAACTAAACACCAGGGTTGCATTTTTCACAAAAATAATATTTATAATTGTTAGTGCTAAAGATATTCCAAATATATGTATATAAACAAATTTGAAACTTTAAAAAAAATAATGTTCAAGCTTTTACTTTTAACCAAACACCAGGGTTGCATTTTTCACAAAAATAATATTTATAATTGGAGCTTATATTACTATAAGCATTTGTCAAATATCTCCCCGTCCATTTTATTTTAACTCTCGTTTATTATTAAGTTTTTTTTTTTGTTATTTCTATATTTTATAATCTTCTTGTCCTTTAATAAAATATTGTAATTCGGTCTTAGCAGAAACTGATACTTTCTTTGAACATGTTCCTACGTATAAACTAAAAAGGGAAGGATATCATCAAATGAAATGATGTATGATTAAAAACAGTAAATTAAAAAAATCATGGTTTTACAATGCCAATAACAATTATAAACCAATGTAGTATTTAATTATTTTAATTATCAGTACGGAATAAATTTTAACATTTATTTTCATAGATATTGAGATAATTAACTGAAATTTAATTGAAAAGATAGAGTTTTAAAACTATGCTATTCTATTATTGCATATCGAAATGTGTAAATACATTCATCATAAAGTTATAAATTATCTAATGTTCATTTATACATTCATTTTATGCTCCTTAGGACAAAATGAAAATATGTTTATTTACAAACATTGATAATAAGAAAAATAAGAAAAGAAATAATATAATTATTTTATTACTTCATAGATTGTATATAATAGATTTATAGCTACTAAATGCAAAATGAAACATATGGCATCAATTATTGTATTAATAAATCTAAAAATATAAACATGATATTGTTAATAGAGAATTTTATGTTAGAATTTTTATCCTATTAATACAATGACATATCAAATATTCAACAGCATAGAAAAGGCTAATTCGATGTAAAGCCTTCGAATCGTACATGTGAAAGCATAAAACAGGCATATGCACGAGTTTAACGAATCATAAGCGGTTTATTGGTTCAGAACAATTTTAAGAATTGATTATATGTAATTATTTCAAAAGTTAATTCTACTGTTTTACCTATTTTGGTCTTTATTCGATTCATACTTAGTGGAATTGTACTTAGTTAAAATAAATAAATTTCTATATCAACACCTCGTTTCATTTTTAAATGCAACTTTTCTTTTCTTATTTTATCACGCACCGTTAGAACATTTCACGTTAGCTACATGTTTAAATAAAGATGCGACTCTTTTACTCCGATTTAAACAAATTAAATATTAAACATTACTCACAGCATGTACAATTATTAAATTTACGCAGTCTATTAGGAAATTTTAACGTCATATTTAGTATATAATACTTAATGCAGCATTAGATACATAGTATTATAAATAAATTTGTAACTACTATCAGAGTACTACCACTATATTGACATGCCAAAAAAACTCTTGAATATTTTTGCATTATTTATAAGGTTATTTTAATTTTGTTATAAATGTTTTATCATTTACTAATGTGCTGTGTTTTGATGTTCCTATATCATTAATTTGCTTTACTAAATATTATAATAATATAATAATTTGTTTGATTAAATGTTATAATAATATGTATTATTTATTCTAGAATTTTGCACTCCCCTTATTTTCAAAAAAGGATTGGTCAGTTTTAATGAATTCAATATTATTGCTCTGTATTTAAAATTTAGAAGAAGCGATTTATAAAATATAGATGTTGGCATATTCAGCACATAAAATAATTCTGTGAGTCGGTAAATAGTTGGAATTGGACATTATGTAAAAGTTTTGATTAATCATTATGTAAATTTGATTCATTTTTAATTTTTTTTTATTTTACTTTTCATTAAAATAATAAACAGAAATTGGATAGGTTAATGGACCAATTTAATCTAATAAAATTATCGACTTCAAAATTAAAATAAAATATCAAAATTAAAACAACATATAGTATTTCAAATAATACAAGATTATTTACAAAATTTTTACTATAAAATATAACTGATTAAACAACAATCGATACAGGAATTAAAAATTGAACAATCTTTGAAAATATATACATTCATATAAATTGAAGTATCCGTAGAGAAATACATTCTTAATATGATAATATGATAATGAAACGTAAAAATAGATGCTATTTTTCTATAAATCCAAAATACAAAATATGTTGTTAATAGACATATAAAAGTGAAATTATTAGTGTTTAATCAGATTGAACTATCAATATATTGTTATAACATAAGATAATTTTTAAAATTGAATAGATGATGTTTCGCCGTGTAATATTTAAAATCGTTAAAAGATGCAATACTTAAGAATAAATCTATTATGCATCCATTGATATTGTATTATTAAGATCGTGCAATAAACGTTCATGGTGTATAAAGCTATGAACACTGCAATTTTCTAATAAAGTTATTATGGGAGAAAATTATTATTTCCATATCGTAGCAATCTATATCAGGGAGACTGGCAATGCATCACAGCGACATTATACATCCAGTGATCCTATCCCATTATCAGTTACCGATCGTGTCGGAAACTAGTCGAAAAGAAAATCCGACATTGCTTCGGTGCTGTCAATAAAACAAGCCAACACATCACACACAAAAGGGGTAAATAAAAATACATGGTATAAAAAAGATTGTAGCGACGCAGCTAATAATAGCTGAGTTCAGCTTGGTCATGTTAGTTCAGCGCCGGCGCAGCAAAATCGCCAAGTTTCTCCGCAACTAAATGTTGGCGCTGACACGAGCACCCCCCTCCCCCACCCGCAGAGACCTAGGCGAGAGGTATGCGAGTCGCGGCTAAACTTAGTTTCGAGCTAGGCCGACTCACTTAGCTATCGCGATCTTCGACCCCCTTATGCGAGCTTGTCTTCCTTATGCTCTGTCTGGATGTTTGGATATTCAATTAAATTGACAACTGAATTCGTGGTGACCATGTACATCTAAAAATTCACACCCTGATCTTTGAAGCAGCTATTAACTGTTTCCCGTGGCAATAGGTTCAGATGCAATTTCTGACTTGTCAAAAGAGTTAAGATACTTTATTAATGTATACTTTATCTCAACTACGATTTCGTTTCTTAAAACTCTAAATTAATGAATGGTCAACATAAATTTTTTCTTAATATTCATTTGCTCGTGAGTAAATATTAATATTATATACCACAATAATTTGTAAACATAATGATTATTTTGTTATTGAGTTTTAAGTCAAAAGTTGGTGCGAGAGTTATTTAACATTTTTGTAACAAATATACTTTTATTTAGTACAAAATTTAAGAGCTTCGTATTTATATGAAAATATACATGTCAACAAGACTCACGATTATAGGCGTATGTATATAGATGGAATTTCTGATCTTATTGCTCTAATGTATATCTTTAAATTGAAGTTATTTATATAACTTTGATGGAATATCTACAAATGGAACAATAAAGATGATCTTCAAAATGCATGATATATATAGTATATAACCTAGTTTTACGTAATGTTTTGAAAAGTGGAAACAATCAAAATAATGTGACCTCCGAACTTTTTTCATTTAAGCAACAAGATTAGGTAATTTTCTTATTAAATATTAACTTCTATGAGATACAAACACTTATAATATTAGAATCTTCAAGAATACCAGGTCAGACGAAAACATATTATTTAATTATAAGAGATTACTTAATAAAAAGATATATATTTCATCATTACAAACAATTTTCAATCTGAATTCCTGAAATCTGGAAAAATTAGCAACTCAATTGTTATGAGGCATTGCTTATTGGAATAAAGCACTGGAACTCAATTTGTTTAACTCCTTAAATAAAGAAAAAGCAAAGTGCAGTTAACACGATCTTTGGGTTGCGGGTCAAGCACCATGTCAACGGCGTCGTCGTCTAAGCCGGCAGTATGACGACACTAGCGCCACCAACACTGAACAATTATATGCCCGAGAGTGAATCACGCAACTCCTACGCATCTCCGAAGTTGTAATTGCTCAGTAAGCTTCTTTTTATATTCGACAAAAAGCGGAAAAAGCAGATCGTTGAACCTTTTAAATGTCGACTAGAACTGAGCTCCACTTCTCCACTCACCAGCAAAAGATCCATTGCCGAGACACCATTTTACGTGTAAGTATGATACTAAAGGTAGCCTTTGTTTTACAGTATTGATATAATTACCAGTAATCAAATGGATATTTTCGATACTAAGAAGACATTTTATTAAGTAGATAATTATAGATTGCTAAAGTATAGCTGTAAAATAAATCACATTAACTAATAATGAAGCTTAGTAGTAACTTTACAACCGTAGATACTATTTATTTCTTCCTTCAAAATTAAAACTATTTAAACATGTACGATAGAAAATATTTATTTTCTTTAAATTACAATTTGCATGTTACATAATGCATGAACACATGCATACATGTACGTACATGTGTATGTGAAACAAATTACATTTAATGCATGTGCATGATTAAGAGAGAGAGAGAGAGTGGCACAAGGCATCACCACCTACTAAATGTGTATGTGTATGTGTGTCTATATGAATCTATATATATATATATATATATATATATATATATATATATATATCTATATGTTGTGTTAAGAAAATATTTATCAATCTCTGGCGTTGAAATCATAATCATCAATTTCTGAATATTTTCATTCATAACTACAATTATACCATGTTTTACCATATGAATTATACCATAAGTTATTTGTCCAATAGGTACAAATTCTATATAAATTTCTTTAAAATAAAATATTAAATATTTTTAAATGTACATTATTAAATAAAATAATATTTAATATTCATTCGCTAAATCATACAAAATTA